ATTTCAATAAATCTTAAACAAATAAAATCATACAGGATTTATTCTCTGCTAAAAATATAAATAAACTGAAAACCAGGAACAGTATCTAGAATATACTCAAATACTGGAAAACAAATTCACATAATTCCAAACTATCCATGGATCAAAGAAGCCACATAAGAAATTAGAAAGTATCTTCACTGAATATAATGAAAACAGAACACAACAAAATGCACGGGCTATACCTAAAGCAGTACTTGGAGTGAAACTGATAGCTTTAAAGCTGTATTAGAAAAAAAATATTTAAAATCAATTATCTAAGCTTCTACCTTAAGGAGTTAGAAGAAAAACAAATGACACTCAACATATGCAGGAAGATAACAATCACAATAAAAACAAAAATACTCCTAAAAGACAGTTCTTAGAAATCACAAAAATGAGCATACTTCAATAAAAAGCCTGTAGAAAAATGGAACTAAAATATAAATTTTGGGGGCCAATGCTGTAACATAACAGGCTAAGCCTCCGCCTGCAGGGTTTTCGTGTGCCAGCTACTCCACTTCCAATGCAGCTCTCTGCTATGGCCTGGGAAAGCAGTAGAAGATGGCCTAAGTCCTTGGGCCCCTGCACCCACATGGGAGACCCGAAGGAGGCTCCTGGCTCCTGGCTTCAGATTGGCACAGCTCCAGCAGTTGTGGCCATTTAAGGAGTGAACCAAGAATGGAAGATCTCCCTCTCTGTCTGTAACTCTACCTTTCAAATAAATAAATAAAATCTTAAAGAAAAAAAAAGACAAATTTTGGTGTAAAACAATTTTGAAACCCAAATATAGTTTTTTCATGAGATGCATCTCCCATAAACTTTTGGAATACACTTTGCACAACTCTCTGGCTGAATCAATCAATGAAAAGCCAAACAAAACTGGAAATGAAAAATAAGAGATAACAAAAATCATCAATATCAGGGAAAAAAAGGACTTCACTACATATCCTATAGACATTATAGAATAAGTATACATTAGAAATAACTATATCCATAAATCTGAGTACTTACATATAAGGAACAAAATGTCAAAACTGACACAAGAAGTAGAAAGTGTAACTCTTGCAAGAATCTGAATTCGTAATTAGAAGCCTTCCAATAAAGAACATTATATGCTCAGACAGCTTTACTGTTCAATTCTTTTTTTTTTCAAGATTTAATATTTTTTAATTTTATTTGAGGAGACACACACACACAGAAAGAAGAGAGAAAGAGAGAAAGAGAGAAAGAGAGAAAGAGAGAGAGAGAGAGAGAGAGAGAGAGAGGTGGATCTTTGATCTTTAATTTGCTGGTTTACTCCTCAAATGGTCCTAAAAGCCAAGGCTGGGCCATGCTCAAGTCAGGAGCTGGCAACTCCATCTAGTTCTCTCCATGTGGCGGTAGGGGCCTAAGCACTTGGGCCATCTTCCAATGCTTAACCCAGGCCCATTAGCAGGGAGCTGGATTGGAAGCAGAGCCACCGGGTCTTGAACTGGGATGCCAGCATCACAGGCAGAGATTTTTTTTTTTTTTTTTTTTTTTTTGACAGGCAGAGTGGACAGTGAGAGAGAGAGAGACAGAGAGAAAGGTCTTCCTTTGCCGTTGGTTCACCCTCCAATGGCCGCCGCGGCCAGCGCGATGTGGCCGGCGCACCGCGCTGATCCGATGGCAGGAGCCAGGAGCCAGGTGCTTTTCCTGGTCTCCCATGGGGTGCAGGGCCCAAGCACCTGGGCCATCCTCCACTGCACTCCCGGGCCACAGCAGAGGGCTGGCCTGGAAGAGGGGCAACCGGGACAGAATCCGGCGCCCCGACCGGGACTAGAACCCGGTGTGCCGGCGCCGCTAGGCGGAGGATTAGCCTAGTGAGCCGCGGCGCCGGCCACAGGCAGAGATTTAACCCATTATGCCACAAAGATGGCCCTTTTACTGCCCAATTTTAACAGTCCAGAAAGAATTAATACTAATATTCCACAAACTTTCAGAAACAACAGATGAAGGGGAACATTTCCCTGCTCCTCTGTAGAAGTCAGCACTAGTTTGATACCAAAACCAAATAAAGGCATTATAAGAAACTGCAATAAATATCTTTCCACTATCAGGGGCAAAAAAAAGATTTGAACAGACATTTTGAAAAGAAGGTACTGGTTGACCATCCCTAACCCAAAAATCTGAAATGATCCAAAATTCATCATGACATCCCAAGTGAATAATTCCTCACTGATCTTATGATAGGTGGCAAATAAAATGCAGATGTACTAAAATTACTGTATAAATTACTTGTGAACTCTGTATTAAGGTATATATAAAACTGAAATGAATTTCATGTTTAGACATGGATCCTATTCCCAAGATACCTAAGTATATTTATGCAAATGTCTCAAAATTCAAAAAAATCTGAAATTCATAACACGTTTGGTCTCAAGAACTTCAGGTAAGGAATACTGAACGTCAAATGTGGTTCAATATTATCAGTCATCAGGAAAGTACACATTAGAACCAAAATAATACACCTCTACATGCCCAATAAAATGGCTAAAACAGACTGATAACAGTAAATGTAGACAAGGGCAAAGAATAATGTAACTATCACACACTGCTATTAAGTGAGACTGGGCTAAGGTAGGAATGTGGTAGAATAATTTCCAGTTTATCCTAAATTTAACATGCACAATATCATATGTCCCAGCATTTCTACTTTTTGTTAGAAAACTCAGTTTAAGTTTACCTAAGGGAAAAGAAAACCTAAGTCATATAAAGACTTATAAATTAATGTTTATAGACTTACTCAATTATTTAGTTTGAAAGGTAGAAAGACAGAGATCTCCCATCTACTGGTTCTCTCCCCACATGCCCACAACAGTCAGGACTGGGCCAGGCCAAAGCAAGCAGCCTGGAACTCAATTTGAGTCTCCTATGTGGGTGCTAGGTATCAAAGACCTTGAGCCATCACCAGCTACCTTCCACAGTCTTAGCAGGAAACTGGAATTATAAACAACACTGGGACTGAAAGCCAGATGTCCTCATACAGATCAAGGACATCCCAAGCAGTATCTTAATTGCTATGCCAAACACCTAGCCCAGATGCTTTATTCTTAATGGTTTAAATCTAGAAAAAACACAAATGTTCATCAAAAAGTAAATGGATAAACAAATTTTGATACTGTCACACAACAGAATACTAACTTGGAATAAAAACAAAAAACTACCAATATCCTCAAGAACATGGAAGAATTCCAAAAGCATATGCTAAGAAGGCAAATACACAAAACAAATATACACTTTTTGGATTCTAATTCTGTGAAATTTTAGAAAAGTAAAAATTATCTACAGTGACATAAAGTAATTGTGTGCTGCCAGTGTTAGGGATGAGGTGGACTACAAAGGAACATGAATGAATGCTGGAACTGATAGAACTATTCTAACCCCTGAGCAGGGTGGTGGTTACAGAGGTACATAGAACTCACAAAACTCCAACTTTACATTAAATACAAGTGCATTCTGTACAAAGCAACAGAGTGACATGGCATGCATATAGAAATAAAGTTATCCTCTACCTCACATCATCCACAAAAGTAAAATGAGCTAAAGATTAAAATCAAAACTAAAACTAAAACTACATTAAAAGAAAAACAGAGGGTAGTTTATAAGCCTTAGTAGGCAGGGGGGAGTGAAAATTCTTCAACAAAAGATTAGAAAGCAAAAGGTAAAGGAAGAGAAGGATACATCTTATTCATCAAAATTAAAATCTTCTAGACTACAAAACTTAAAAGACAAGTATCTAATTGAGAGATATATTTGCAACATTGCTAGAACGAGAATTCTAACAAAATAAACAATGTAAAACAAAAAATGTCCCTCTAAGACTCATTAAAGTTGCAACCCAAAGGGCAAGGAGGAACAGCCAAACTGATACAAAAAGAAGTCATGTGGATGCCAACTGTATAAAGACGATGAACCTCACCACCCATCTAGGAAATATAATGCCATTTTTCTCTCAAAAGATTGGTATTTAATAATATCAGCTGGTGGTGTGCATGTAAGGAACAACAGTTAATGCAAGTGGGAGCATGGACTGGTACAAATCTTGTCCTACAGACAGAATTTTAGAGTATGCATTACATATACTTTTAATGCTTAGCAATTTCACTGTTTATTCTAAAGAAATTTATATGCACACAAGAAGGCAGGTACAGAGAAATCCACTAAAGAAACAATATATCACAGAGAAAAGGCTAAATAAACTTAGATGCATGTACACTATGAGAGCAGTTACAGAAAAGAAACACCTCTGCATGTACTGATGTGGAAAAGTCTTCAAAAGACCCATTGCTGGCTGATTAAAGATACATAACAACATATCTGTGTAGAAACAAATTAAATGGAAAAGTCTTACAGATAATGATTATACAAATATATACAAATGCATATAAAAAGACCTGCAAAGGTACACATGAAAGGAGGTGGCAGATTAGGAGAAGACCTATGTATTATTACAGATCCTGGTCAAACTTTCAAAAGGGAAATATATTTTTGTATTATTTTTCCAAGAATAAATTAATGCTAAAAAAAATTAATCCACTGATTTTAGATGTGCTTAGAAATGTTTTCTGAGGAACCTCTTTCCAGAGAACACTGGGACACAGGTGCACTGCCATGTCCTGTGGAGAGTGCTCTGTCAGTGAACGGCCTGAGAAGCCCATACCACCTCTGGCCTGTAATATACCACAACAGTTTGCAACAAACATCAATGCCTTGTAAGTCTCTTCCCATACTTCCTTCAAAGCTTTCTCAAGTACCTCTCAATCCAAATGCTCACACTCCATTACCCTGTTTAATTTTCTTCTTAGCAACTGTCACTATCTGAACTTACCTAGTTATTCACTTACTTATTGTCTGTCTCCCACTAGAATGGGAATGGCAAGACAATTCTGAATTTCATATGATTAGTCAAGCCATTCAGAGTTTTCTTACAGTATCAAAGACACATTTTATTTACTTACCTTAGTTGGAAAAGGAAATTTGGAAGGTTCTGTTTTGCATGGTGTATGAATAGCCGTTAGAGGGGGAGGCCATGAATGCGTCATCTCCTGAAATGTAATTATTACAGTTTGTTTTCAACCAGGTTAAGGATAAAAATTATACAGCTAAAAACCAGATTTGTATTTATAAATGCTGGTTTCATGACTGCTCCTCCAAAATTATACATAATGAGTCAATAAGTATTAATCAAGCACAATTGTGTGCAAGGCACTATGGGGTTGGTGAAAAGATTATAAACAAACACTCCCTGGCTGCAAGGAGTTTGCAGTTAGGACAAGCAAACCTGTGAATAGTTACAGAAATCAGCTTGTGATGAAATACTAGGCGCATAACAAAATACTACCAAGGGACAGCTTGCTGTGGGAGTGGTAGGAGGGGGAGAATGATCAGGAAAGCAGCTAACATTTATTATGTACCTTTAATGTGCCAGACACTAGGCTAAATGTTTTACATGTCTGTTACTCATTTAGTACTCACAATGCCATTGTGAGGTAGACATTATTATCCCAACTCAGGATGAAACTGAAGCAGACAGATGAAGTCATTTATTCAAAGTCACACAGTAAGTAGTGGACATGGAATTTCATCCTAGAAAAGTCTGGCTACAGTGAGCCCATGTGTTGACAGGAAAATCTCAGGTGAGAAATCAGAAAAGAGATTTCAAAAGCAAATAAAGAGGAAAACAGAAAAGGAGGGCCTTCAGCCTTTTTCTATGTAATCATATGCCTAATATGGTCAAGTGAGATTTGGATAAGATCACAATGTGTATGTTAAAGGAGCTGGTGTGTGTGGAGGGATAATCATATTTATAATAAAGAGGGAATATTTTGTTTTAGGCATTTAGTTCAAAGTAAGCCATCAGGTCAATCAAAGGTGGTATAGAACCTAGGATTTTATCTTATAGCTATACCCACAGTTAAATGAAGATATATATTCAAAGGCTCACACCTAAAAACTAGAAACAACCTTCGACTACAACAGCATAGTAATGATTAAAGCAACTGCCAGCCAGCCATGCAATGGAACATCAAGCAGACAAAACAAGAAATTAAGTAACATGAAATGATGTGCACAGTATTATTGTTAAGTGACAAACACAAATCACAGTCTATGTCCTAGTAAATGTTTACATACGGAGAAAAAAATCTATGGAAGGACAGCTACTATTAGCTACCCTTAGGCAAAAAAAATAACAGAAGGAAGACAAAACAAGGTCACCTGATCTAGTCTTGTGAACCTCTTAGAACAGCCACCTGTACGTATTTGCTCCTTATCTCTCACAATTCTTTATTTCTTATAGCATTTCACTTTCTTTTATTTATTTATTTTTTATTTATTTGACAGGTAGAGTTATAGACAGTGAGAGAGAGACAGAGAGAAAGGGCTTCCTTCCATTGGTTCACTCCCCAAATGGCCGCTACAGCCAGCACTGCGCTGCCGATCTGAAGCCAGAAGCCAGGTGCTTCCTCCTGGCCTCCCATGCGGGTGCAGGGGCCCAAGTACTTGGGCCATCCTCCACTGCCCTCCCAGGCCACAGCAGAGCTGGACTGGAAGAGGAACAACCGGGACTAGAACCCAACGCCCATATGGGACGCCGGCACCGCAAAGCGGAGGATTAACCAAGTGAGCCATGGCACCGGCCACAGCATTTCACTTTCTGAATAGGACATAGATGCTTATTTCCCACCTCTTGCTACAGAATGTGAAACAACTGTCAATATATCCCCAGTGCTTGACATGTAGCAGGTGCTCAATTAGCATGTTCTGATCTAATAGGTCAATTTTTTAAATAAACATATATTACATTTAGATTTAAGAAATTATTTTTTAAGTTCACATGGGGCTCCTGAAACAGTATAACTACAAATTTGAAGAAAACAAAAAATGGAGGTGAATCAGAAGTTCCCTGCCCTCGGCAAACAGGGAAGGGGAAGGAAGCAGAATCGTATATGCCTCCGGGTTTTGGGGTTGGCATTTTGTATCTCAAATACTCTCATTGAAAAAAAAATCTACTGAACTCTCTATCATGAAGTGACTGAGCACCTATTATATTCCAGGCCATGTGCCAACCTCTGTATATATAAAATACAGGATAAACGGCCTGTACTGTCAAAGATATAATTAAATGTAAGGCAATGTTCCAACTAAAATTCCATGCATTGCTGAAGATTCAGGGAAATAAGCACATGCTCCCTCAGAATTTTAATACACATGGCAACTGAAAAAGGCAAGTTACCACTGTGGTCTGATACAGGTGAGAAGAAGGATTTCATTGGGATTCTAAGAATACAGAGAATCTATATATAACTAAAGAGGAAAGAGAAACACAATCCAAGAAAGATTACTTTAAGGAAGTAAAAAACCAAAAAAGTATGGCTAGGGAAACCAGGATAGCAAAAACAATCAATACGTAATTGAGAAGTTAGGACTGGCCTGTGGGAGAACTGCAACACTAAATTTAGATACTTCTCACTCTTTAATGGGTCTTCACAGAGTCACTGAAAATTTCTTAAGGAAAAAATTATGAAGTCCAGGGACTGAAGTGAAGAATATGGTAGTAATTCAGAAGACAGAGAAGCAGGTAGACTGGAGACAGGCAGACTGAGGTCTCTGTTACAATCACTGAAGCTCAAGGTCACAGAACCAGAAACAATGGGTATTTTCAAACAAATATGAAAGTCTACATCTACTTTAATGATTAAAAAGAACATGAGAGGAATAATAATTAGATTCTATATTCTACAGGTTTGACAGAATGGTAGTACTACTAACAGAAGGAAGTCTGGTAAATATGGCTGTAGACGTGTTAAATTTGAAGAAGCAAAGAGAAATCCAAAAGGAAACCCAGCTAAGAAGCAAACGAGGCCAAGGAGGTAATAAAGACCAAAGAACAGAAAAAGCTGTGACTGGCGGAAAGAGCCAAAGAGCATAAAGAAAACCGATGGAGCTGCAAGGACGCCCTCGTACTTAGAGAACAGAAGACACCAGGATTCCAAAAAGGTAGCAAGAGAGATAAGGAAAATACCAGCGAAATAAAAGCAATGCAGCTTTACAACAGTCAAAGGGAGAATCATGCTTCCAGAAGGAAGAACTTTAAACTCTTAAAATAGCATGAAGCCCCTAGATGAATGAGAAGGTAAAATGACCTGAAACAGGTTCAGCAAAATGGCAGAGGAGAAAGGAAAGTTACAGTGGGCTCAGAGAAGGAACCTGAGAGAACAGAGTTGAAGCAGCTGATGCAGGTAGTCCCAGAAGTATCTACAGTGCAATACAACTATAGACACAAAAATTTAAGAGCTCACAAGGTAAAAAAAAAATCCAAGAAAGTACAAGTAATATGAGACTGACAGTTTTTTCTAAGGAGCAAAACAAGGCATTATCACTCACTCAGTTACTAGACTTTTTCTTTTTTCAACAACATTTCTTCTAACAAAGAAATGCACACTTTGGTCACATGGTGATTTTAAATGCATTCCATTAAACTACCAAATTCCATTAAATTACAAAAAGTACAGTACTTAGAGGTCTTTTACTGTCAGATTTTTAACCAGTATGTACAAATGAATTACAAATCCAGCTATTTTCAAGGTAAAGGTTTGGTAACTACTGAGTTTTTTAAGCACTTCAAATTATTAACTGATAAGCTGAGAAAGTACAGTTATGTTTCTTTTCAAGGTAAACTGTTAGGACAGGAATTTGTTTTACTTAAAAACAAAAAAACAAAACCAGCTCTTTGAAGGCAAACAATAAAACAAAAAAGCCACATGATTCAGAACACAGGTATAAGCAAAACAGTCAATTATTTATGATGAACAAAATCAAGTTATACACATAAGCCATTTGTTGCTTTGAATCCTTTGTGAAATTTTGGTGGAAAGAGGGTAAGAAGGTGGCAAAGAATCACAATAAAAAGAATGAAACAATTTTTAAAAAAAACTTACTTTTAGAATTTCATCCACACAGCTCACATCACCAGAAGCTGATGCCTTAGAAAGAAAAAAAGAAACACACATTTGAAGCACTTTTAGTTTTTTAATACTAGTTGCATAGATTTTTTTTAAAATTATCAGAAATGAAATAAAATTTAAGTAAATATTCATGAGGGTTGGTGTCATGGCACAACAGGTTAAGCTGCAGCACATGACACCAGCATCACACACTGGAATGCCAGTCAGTGTCCCAGCTGCTCTGCTTCCAATTCAGCTCCCTGCTAATGTAACTGCAAAGACTACGGAGGATGGCCCAAGTGCCTGAGCACCAGTCACCCATGTAAGAGAGGATGAAGTTCCTGCTCCTGGCTATGGTATAGCCCAGTTATTGCAGGCACTTCAGGAGTGAGCAAGGGAATGGAAGATCTCTCTCTCTCTCTCCCTGTCACTCTGCCTTTCAAATAAATAAATAAATCTTTAAGGAAAAAAATGCATTCATGATCCTACTAGTTTATTAAATCAGAACACTAGTTAGAACCATTTGATTAATTTCCTTAAATACAAATTTTGAAGCATTTGAAATTTTAATCACCAAATAATACATAAGCTTGGGGAAATCTGCATTTTTCAAAGTTTTAAAAATTTTATCTTTTCTTATACTTCAGATTGAGAAACAACTTTTAAGACATGATTTTTCAGTAAGCAGCTTGTCGAAAAATTTGTTTCCTTATATACAGAATAATCATGATACTGAAATAAACCATTTCATATAAAACAACAGAGGAAGACAAGTATTACCAAGAGTACTGGCCTGGAACATGACATACATTTTACATAGTCTTTCTTAAATCACAGACAGCAAGTTGCTTGTTTTAAAGCACAAATAGGAATTAGAAAGCTGAACTCAAGACTAACTAAGCACCATGCTATTTGAAGAAAAAACAAATCCTCAATTTACTGCTAGCTTGAGAGGCATAATTAGATGACAAACGTCACTAACACCAAGTTTCCCAGAACCACAGGAAAGATTCTTATCTTGCCTATCCCTAACTCTTAATCCCATTCTAAGTTATTAACTATGATTTCTGGTTAATAACATTCTGGCCTTTTTTTTTTTTTTTTTTGACAGATAGAGTTAGAGACAGTGAGAGAGAGAGGGAGACAGACAGAAAGGTCTTCCTGCCATTGGTTCACCCCCTAAATGGCTGCTATGGCCGGAGCTACGCCAATCGGAAGCCAGGAGCCAGGTGCTTCCTCCCAGTCTCCCATGTGGGTACAGGGGCCCAAGCACTAGGGCCATCCTCCACTGCCTTCTCAGGCCACAGCAGAGAGCTGGACTGGAAGAGGAGCAGCCGGGACTAAAACTGGCGCCCATATGGGATGCCGGCACTACAGGCAGAGGATTAACCGAGCCACGGCGCCCACCCCAACATTCTGTTTTAATATCCTTATTGTATGAATTGTACTGAAAAGTAAAAATCTCACTTGGTTCACAATAAATGCTCACTTCCCTGATTATTTTGAGTTTCACATTGTAGTATACAGTTATAAACATGGTAAATTTCAAACTACCCCTATCAATTCAGAGCAACTGGCCCAATTCTCTAAGTATAACCAAAGAAAAAACCCACAGCATTCCAACTCTACAACATCCCCATCTCCATGGACCCACAGTCCCTATATTTCTCACCATGAATCAGGGCCCACATCTCATCCCTAAGTATCACTATAATAGAGAAGTCGGAGTGGGTGTTTAGCTTAGTGATTGAGATGCCTGCGCCCCACACTGCAGTGCCTCAGTTTGATTATTGCCTCTGGCTCCTGACTCCATTTTCCTGCTACTGCAGATGCTCAGAGCAGCAGTGATGACTCAAGTAATTAGGCTCCTGCCACCCACATGGGAGACCAAGATTGTGTTCTCATGTCCTGTGTTCAACCCCGTAGCTGATGTGAACATTTGGGGGAGTGGACCAGTTTATACAGGCTCTATACCTCAAATAAAAAATAAATAAGTAAAAAGAATAGAGAAACTAAGTTTCTTTTTAAACAAAAGAAACACATATATTATTTTATATCAAAAAATAGGAAATACAAGACATTGATGAATCATGCTTTAATTTTCCCTAATTAATTTGTCATTTTAATATCTGAAATCCATGAAGGACGTTTTCTCTACTTCCTAAGAATGGAAGCTAACAGTTGCAAGATCCAGTTGGGAGTCACAAGTCTTCCTTTGGACATTTTTTTTTTTTTTTTAATCTTTAAACTTTACATTCCTTACTATTAAGGCAAATAGGCAGTTCAAGTTCAATCAGAATTTATGGTCAACATGTTCACAAAGTCACAGTGTTAAAAGCTCTACATGTAAGACTTACATCCAGTGGTTGGGAGGGTATTTTCAGCTTGGTAAGATGAGCCTTGCTGCTGGGCTTCAGCTCAGTCGTGCTGTTACCATGGGACTGGCTGCTGTAGTGCTCAGAGGATAGCTTTGGTTCCATGGACTCCTGTCCATCCATGGGCCGCACATAGGCAGTGGGTTTCTGTAACATGGAACTAGACTTTGACATCAATGAAGGTGGGAAAGCCTGATTTGAGTGTTGCCCACTCGAAAAAGGTACACGAGAAGGAGAATCCCAGTGTGCATCAGGGTCCCGAGGTGATTTGGAACGCTGATGTTCCTTGCTATGGTGATCATTCCCATGAGATCTGGAATGACTAGAGCTTAACGAAGAAACAGCCTGGGGTTTTCCAGGGCTAGAAGAGCGTGATTTGGAGTGTTCTGATCCATGTTGGCTTTTTTTCCGGCTACTGCTCCCACTACTGCTGTATGAGTCACGGTCATGCCTCTGGCCACTACTGTTAGTGCTACTACCTCCACTTGCACTGGTCCGCTGGCTACTGTGTCCACTCTGTAAGCCTGAGGACCGTTTCTGAGACTGAGAAGTGCTGGGTGCAGGTCCTACCGGAGTCCATTTGCTACTCTGATGAGAACCTCCATGTCTTTGTTCAAAGAAATTTGGACTAGATTTTTCATCTGCTGTTGGTGGTACTGTAGGCTTGGGAATCGCAACAAGCTTTGGTATAGATCTGTCTCCTATGAAATCCTCCTTCATTTCATCGTAGTCTCCAAGCATACTCTGAATGCGACTTGATAACTTATCTTCTTTGCTAGTCTAGAAAAAAAGTAAAATAAAAGTATATAATTAGTATATTCAGCAATAAAATATGCTTCAAAATTTATTTTCCAAACGTCAAATGCACAGAGGATTTTCAAATGAAGGGCCTCATAGCTTAAAGTCAACATTTAGAAGCAAACTAAATATGTAACTTTATAGTGAAAAAAATTCACTCAATGTGTCTAAAACTAATCATGCTAAAATATAAATATTCTAGGGGCTGGTGCTGTGGCACAGCAGGTAAAGCTGCCACCTGCAACACTGGCATCCTATATGGGTACCAGTTCAAGTCCCAGCTGCTCCTCTTCTGAGCCAGCTCCCTGTAATGGCCTAGGAAGGGCAGTCAGTGGTAATGGCCCAAGTACTGCCTGGGCCAGCCCTCACCATTGTGGCCATCTGGAGAGTGAATCAGCAGATAGAAGTGCCCGTGTGCATGCACACAGGTATTCTATGTATGTGTGTGTGTGTGCGTGCATGTGTCTGTCTTCCTCTCTGTAACTCTTTCAAGTGAATAAATCTTTAAAAATATACATCTATTACTACATATGTACTATATATGCACATATACTATAGGACAACGAGATAGATATACAATAGATTCTAAGGGGATGGGGGACTTACTGGAACAGCAAAAGTCTTTAAAAAAAAAAAAGAAATAAAAGTAATATGCCCTTAAATGTTAACTTTTAGGCCAGCTGATTAGCTAACACTCATGTTTTGTTAGTCTTTCAAAAATTTTATTCCTCCTAATTCAATGAAGAATTTATTCCTCATAATTCAGAAGCAGAAAAAAATTTAGTAAAACAAGTTATATATCCAGGTTGACTGTTTCTTAAATTTCAACCTCCTCTGTAATTGTGAATCACCATGTTAATAAAAGTCTTCGAACAAATTAAATAGATAATTCCTTGATAAAGTTTTAAATCTTGGCTATTATCTCTGACCAAGAAATGTTTCAACCTTCCAAGTCAACAGTACATACTTTAAGTTATAAAAAATCATTCATGGGGCTGGCGCTGTTGCGCAGTGAGCTGGCGCCCTGGCCTTAAGCGCCAGCATCCCATATGGGCACCAGTTCTGGTCCTGGCTGCTCCACTTCTGGTCCAGCTCTCTGCTATGGCCTGGGAAGGCAGTGGGGGACACGGAGGAGGCTCTGGGCTTCGGATCGGCGCAGCTCCGACCATTGCGGCCATCTGGGGAATAAGCCATCAGACGGAGGCCCTCTCTCTTTCTCTGCCTCTCCTCTCTCTCTGTAACTCTGACTTTCAAATAAATAAATAAATCTTTTAAAAAAATCATTCATAAGTGATAAAATGTCCAAGATGTCTATAGGTTTTAGGAGTCTTTAATATTCATACACAAAGAATAATACTGATTGCATTAAAGAGAAATCAAGAGTGAGCCACCAATATTTATTATGATATTGGCAAGAATCAATGACTTTAGATTCTTTAAAAATCTATCTAGGCCGGCGCCGCGGCTCAGTAGGCTAATCCTCCGCCTGCGGCGCGGGCACACCGGGTTCTAGTCCCGGTCGGGGCACTGGAGTCTGTCCCAGTTGCCCCTCTTCCAGGCCAGCTCTCTGCTGTGGCCAGGGAGTGCAGTGGAGGATATGCACCCCATGGGAGACCAAGATAAGCACCTGGCTCCTGCCTGCGGATAGGCGCGATGCGCCGGCCGCAGTGCGCTGGCTGCGGCGGCCAATGGAGGGTGAACCAACGGAAAAAAAGGAAGACCTTTCTCTCTGTCTCTCTCTCTGTCCACTCTGCCTGTCCAAAAAAAAAAAAAAAAAAAAAAAATCTATCTGATCCTACTAAATGAGAAATACAGATCTATTTAGACAACATCAAGATTAGAAATCAAACACAGTTCTTTGCAGTACAATTACACAATAAATGATAGCATGATTCAGACATTCTGGAATAAACGTCTGGTCTTCTTTTGGCTATTGCACTTTTACTCTCTAATGTAAACCCTAATTTTAGGTTTTGTGTTACATTCACATAAATGATGTCAGCATGATAGCCTTTGAATTAGAAAATGCTTAAAAGCTCTGGACAACTGGCTTTTACAGGTAAAACACATAAACAGCTTCCACAAAATCCAAATGTTATGAGTATACTAGATTATGCTGTTCCTTTTAATATTTCATCAGAAAAAAAAGTCTAACACAATACCATACTATAAAGGAACAATCATTACTGTTGTAATACAGGGTACATGAGTACTTCTAAAAGTTTTTGGAAAAATAAACTTACCTTCATTTTTCCATGAACCTTTAAAAGTACCTTCATATTTTTGCTATTATACATGTAGTATAACCTTTAAAATGTAAAGAACAATTCAAATACAATCCAAAACCAAATCAAATGATATGTGTGGCCACAAAAGTTACATTACAATCACCAAAAATGGTACCATTCAGTGTTTTATGTAACATCTCAAACCAAGTTCAATGATACTAATGAAAATAGTGATTGATTCTATTTATTAAACATGTCTGGCAGCATGCTTTAATATAAATCTGATATTGTCAATCACTGAAAGTATTAGAAGGAAAATCAGAGAATTTGGTCGATCATACAAAAAGAGCTGAATTGATACTAAAGACACATTTATTCAAACCCATTAATAATCACTAAAATTTAGTGAATTAAGCATGTGAATGGCAATTAACAATGTGAATGGGAGAAAAAAACGCATCTATGAAATATTCATCTTTGATTGACATTTTATCCAAAAAGCACTTAGGAAATAACATACTGATTCACAAAATTTTTAACTTTAATTCAAAGCTCAGGAAGGTGAATGCCTGCCCATGGATAGTGGCATAGCCAGAAGTAGGAGATAAATGCTGGAGGCAACTCAGACCACACTGTTGGAGTACAGATAAGAATGGAGGTGCAGGAAGTGCTTTTAGTGAATACTGATTACATGAGGTCATTTACATTGTAAAATCTGCTCAACCCATAACTGTTTTTTCTGTACTGTTTTATATGCATATTATACTTTTAAAAAGTTTATTTCAAAAAATTATGTTCTACTTAGATGAAAGGAAACAATGCTAAATAATATTCATAGTAATTCTTTTCTATGTAAAAATTCAAGATTAAAACATTTTAAAAGCAAAACTGTCTTATTAATGAGGAAAACAAAACATTCAAAGCAGAATAACTTACAACTTTGTAAGGCTCAGCAAAGAGAGGAGAGCTAGGTGGGAAGGCGTCTTCGCCCTGCTGAATTTCCTGATTCCGCCTTTCCCGTTCTTTCATACGCAGCACATTCCGGTCTTCACGGTTCATGTTGCTATGAAGAGAGAAACAAGCTTTACATCACAAAAAGAAAAAAGGGAAAACTGAATTCTCTGTACTTATTTTGTCAATTTCATGTTCATCTGGAGATTTCCTAGTAATAACCAGCATTAGAGCAGAAGCTGGGTCTTGGCAAGCTTTATCAACACCAACAACGTCTTTGACAGCATCTTCCACAACTATCCAGAGGAGAATGGGAGGACCCACTGATGAGATCACTTAATCCTATCAGTTTTCAAAGCGCTCTTCGAGGTGAATGTGAGCCAAAGCTTGTGTAGTACTTTAAATCCAAAACTTCACTGTTTCCTACAATGGCTTCCTCTCAAGGAATCTACTCTTTGTTCTTAGTGGCAGATAGCCCATTCCTACCTACCACCCTCCTCCCCTGCCCCAGAGTCCAGTTCTTTTCTCTACTTTGCATCTACCTTATCTCGATTTCTTTTTGTCCCAAATACAGTTTCTTTGGTGTCCTTCCTTATGGCAGCTTGACCTCAGCTTTGCTGTTGCTCTAGATTCCCTAAAAAATGACATTTCTGCTCTAAAGATATTAATATTGCAAGTAACACCTCAAAACAGCAAAACTGAGGCTTTCAATAACATTCTAAAGTTAACTTCAGTTAGTAACAGAACCTGAAATTGAACTGAAAAAGTCTTGAGAGGTAGGTGAAAAAATGGGAGTGTCACTTCTATAATCACGACAATATATTGCATTTCCACTAAACACACCAAGAGAAACAGCTCATTTATTTATTTTTTTTTATTTATTTTTATTTTTGACAGGCAGAGTGGACAGTGAGAAAGAGAGACAGAGAGAAAGGTCTTCCTTTTGCCGTTGGTTCACCCTCCAATGGCCGCCGCGGCCGGCACGCTGCGGCCGGCACATCACGTTGATCCGAAGCCAGGAGCCAGGTGCTTCTCCTGGTCTCCCATGCGGGTACAAGGCCCAAGCACTTGGGCCATCCTCCACTGCACTCCCGGGCCAACAGCAGAGAGCTGGCCTGGAAGAGGGGCAACTGGGACAGAATCCGGCTCCCCAACCAGGACTAGAACCCGGTGTGCTGGCGCCGCAAGGCGGAGGATTAGCCTATTGAGCCACGGCGCTGGCCAACAGCTCATTTATTAACAGCAAGGATTCTGGTTAAATAGACAATTATGAAAAACTTGTCAAACCCTGAAACTAGAGATTATCAGGAATTCTGCAACACTCTTCCCTGCAGACACTTTATAAACTATGTGTCCTGGTTTTAATACAAAAAAATAATAATAATAACGGGGGTAGGTGGCTATTGGAAGCAAAGGGAGAAAAGCAGGTTATACCTATAGAGTATTTCTAGAATAAAATTCACGAATCAAATCAGAAAATTAATATAAATCGAAATCAAGGGAGACTATAAAAATACAACTAGAAATGACAAAACCAACACACTGGGGGCTGGTGCTGTGGTGTGGTAGGTTAAGCATTTATCTATCTGCCTGTGGTGCCAGTATCCCATATGGGGTACCCATACTGGCTGCTCCACTTCCAATCTAGCTTCCAGATGGCCTAGGAAAGCAGAAGAGGAACGGCCAGGTGCTTGGGCCTGTGCACCTGCATGGGAGAACTTGGAGGGAGCTCTTGGATCCTGGCTTTGGATGGACCCAGCTTTGGGGCGTGAACCAGCAGATGGAAGACCTCTCTCTGCAACCCTGCCTCTCAAGTAAATAAATAAATCGTCAAAAAAGAAAAAAAAACACTCTTGAGGGTGGACATTTATCAGTGATTAGAACAGTGAAAGCTGACATCCAAAAATAAAACTTAATTTGTACCACTTAGTATTATGGAAATAAAGCAATTTAATGTACAAAAAATGTTTTAAATGTTTCACATTCATATTCAAGTTGTTTCTTACTTGTGCAATATCCTAATAAATTTAGTCAAGAATATGAATATATTGCAGCCAACAGAAATAGTGTGTGCTTTCTTTGGCTTCCTTGGTACTTAGCACCCTACAGAACCACAGAAGGTATTTCAATCTTTGCCGAATGATTATCATAACACATCTATACTTAAGTATTCAGAGGCAATATATACAAAGAAAACATTATCCTTCAGCACATTTAGATCAACCAATGATTTTATACTAACACCCAAGCTTGTTTCAAACAGGCCTCTTGAGCTATAATGTTACCATTTTACAAAGCTGTTGATAGCTGATAAGGTATAAGGGGCATGTTAGCTACCAATATTCTTAAATTTGCTAAATTCAATCTCTAAATGACCAGAAAATTTACTGAAAATAATTTAATTTTCTGTATGCAGTATCAGTAAAATAATCATTCAATAAATACTTATACACATATAGTAAAAATAGATTCCTGGGGCATTCCATTGTGAGGCAATGGGTTAAGTCCACCACCTATGATGCCAGCATTCCCTATTAGAGTGCCGGTTTGAGTCCCAGCTGCTCCACTTTCAATCCATCTCCCTGCAAATGCACCCAGGAACACAGTGGAGGATGGTTCACTCCCCAAATGGCTGCAACTGGCGGAGCTGGGCCAATCCAAAGCCAGGAGCCAGGAGCTTCTTCTGGGTCTCCCACTCAGGAGCAGGGGCCCAAGGATTTGGGCCATCTGCTGCCGCTTTCCCAGGCCATAGCAAAGAGCTGGATCGGAAGTAGAGCAGCTGGGACTCAAACCAGCATACACATGGGATGCTGGCACTGGAGGCAGAGGCTTTACCCGCTATGCCACAGTGTCGGCCCCTCATGCACTTTTGACTGCCTGCTCTGCTTTCCCTTCCATCTTGCATCTGTGCAGTCTCACTGGAGTTTTTTAAAGTTTCTGTGAGGCAACTAATTAATCTAATTAAATAATTTTAATTCCCTATTACAAACACTATAATTTTTATTTCTCAGTTACATAAAATGAAATTTTATATGAAATATTTGGGATCAGAAATATTTCAGATTAGGGTTCCTTTTTTCTTCATATTTTGGAATATTTACCACAGATTCTAGTAAGTTGAACATTCCTCACCCCAAAATGCAAAATTCTTCCAAATCTGAAAACTTTTGTGTCATGTAAGCACTTAAAAAGTTTCATATTTAGGAAGACTCCAGACTTTCAGAGTAGACATGCACAACTAATACATAAAGAAATAAAAAGTGAATCTAGCTGTGGACAACATGGCGTTGGGGTGCTCTGGAAAGGAAAGGTCTGGCTTTGACGAGCATCTTTTACCACCCATGGTTATATAACAGTTCCACTTCTTATCTGTATATGTTCTAAGATCTTTAGCAGATGCCCAAAATCTCAGACAGTACCAAACCTCTCATATATTATATTTTTTCCTATACATACTTACCTATGATAAAGTTTATCTATAAATTAGGCAAAATAAATCAAAAGCAATAAAATTAAAATGTAACAATATAATACAACAAAAGTTACCATGGGGCCAGCACTGTGGCACAGTGGGTTAAAGCCCCAGCCTGCACTGCCAGCATCCCATCTGAGCACCAGTTTGAGTACTGGCTACTCCACTTCTGATCCAATTCCCTGCTAACATGCCTGGGAAAGCAGCAGAAGATGGCCCAAGTCCTTGTGGGAGACTGAGAAGAAACTTCTAGCTTAAGACCAGCTCAACGGCCGGCGCTGCGGCTCACTAGGCTAATCCTCCGCCTTGAGGCGCCAGCACACTGGGTTCTAGTCCCAGTCAGGGCGCTGGATTCTGTCCCAGTTGCCCCTCTTCCAGGCCAGTTCTCTGCTACGGCCTGGGAGTGAAGTGGAGGATGGCCCAAGTCTTTGGGCCCTGCACCCACATGAGAGACCAGGAGAAGCACCTGGCTCCTGGCTTCGGATCAGTGTGATGCGGTGGCTATTGGAGGGTGAACCAACGGCAAAAAGAAAGACCTTTCTCTCTGTCTCTCTCTTTCTCACTGTCCACTCTGCATGTCTAAGTAAATAAATAAATAAGACCAGCTCAGCTCTGGCCCTTGTGGCCATCTGGGGGTGAACCAGTAGATGGAAGAACTCTCTCTCTCTACCTCGCTCTGTAACTTTGTCTTTCAAAAAAAATCAAATAAATCTATTAAAAAAAAAGTTACCTAAGCGGCTTGGTGCCACTAGTTTCAAGGGATCCCTTGCTGAAGACTTCATATAGGCTCACCGCTCCTTCCAGCACAATACAATACCATCAATCAGAATTCATTTTCTGTTCATGTCTTCCACCTACATAAATTTTAATGCATATTTCTGTCTCTCAACACTGGCCAATCACTGTGGCTGTTAACCTTTTTTTTTTTTTTAAAGAGATTTATTTATTTATTTGAAAGGAAAAGTTACAGAGAGAGAGAGAGAGAGAGGTCTTCAATCCACAGGTCCACTCCCCAATTGACCACAATGGCCAGACTTGCGCCAATCCAAAGCCAGGAGCCAGAAGCTTCTTCCAGGTCTCCCACCTGGGTGCAGGGGCCCAAGGACAGGGGACATCTTCTACTGCTTCCCTAGGCTATAGCAGAGCTGGATAGGAAGTGGAGCAGCCAAAACTTGAACCAGCACCGATATGGGATGCCGGCACTGAAGGTGGCAGCTTTACCTGCTACCCCAGCTCCGGCTATTAATTTCTGTAGTTTGCGATACATTAGCAAAATCTGCATGAATTTCTTTTCCCTTGTTCATAATTTCATGGGCAAAAAATTCATTTTTTAAGCTTTATTTATCTTGACAGGCAGAGTTACAAAGAGAGAGAGAGGTAGGGAGAGGAAAAGGGAGGGTGGGTCGGAGAGGGACAGGGAGAGGGAGGGAGGAAGGGGGACAGGGAGAGAGAGGGAGGGAAGAAGGAAGGGGGAGGGGAGGGGGTAGAGAGAGATCTTCCATCTGATGATTCACTTCCCAAATAGCCTCAACAGCCAGAACTGGACCAGACAAAAGCCAGGAGCCTCTTCCACGTCTCTCATGTGGATGCAGGAGCCCAAGTACTTGAACCATCTTCTGCTGCCATCCCAGGCACATTAA